GCTCCCGGGGCCGGGCGAGCCGAGGGGCTTCCGTTGGGCTCCTCTCCAGAGGGGTCCGCGCTGAGAGCCTGTGGGCCTCCCAAGGGGGCTCTGATGCCCCGGCACCCCAGCCAAAGTCAACTTCGTGTGCGTAATCAGCTCTCAGCCCCCCTCCTGCAGCCGGCTCCCCGCGGGAGTATTTTTAGCTCTCTCGCCTCTTTTCGCAGCCGCTGTTTGGCTGTGCATGACGTGATGCCAACGGCCCCCAGATTTCCCCGGGCGCGTGGGGCGCTGCGCCTGCCTGGTTTGGCTGGGGGACCCCCGCTCCAGACCCTTGTCACCTCCCTAGCACCTCACGCAGGCTGGGGGCTCTCCAGCAAACTCCGTGGGACCATCGCCGGGTCTTCCACTATTCGACCCCCCACCCCCACCCCTCGCACCCGTAAACCGAAGCAGCCCAACGACGTCTTCTCCCCAATTTCGGGGTCGCCCACCCCGGTCTGTGTCTCCGGGACGGGAAACGCCGGCCCTATATCGATCTGGGTTTACTGCGGGCGCTTCTCGCGCAGGCGGCGCTCGCCGTTGTTTTCTGCTCTTTGCACACAATGCCCGCGCGTCACGGCGGCCCGCGTGTGCACAGCAATAACGCGAGTCGGGGGCGGGTCGTGCGTGCGCCGGGCTCGGGTACTGCGGGTCGCTCCGTGCGCGCGGGGCTTGTTTTGCTCCAGAGCCCCGTTTTTCCCGACGCTTACATCATTTGTTGGTTGGGGGAGGGAATCTGGGCGTTCTGATAGAATTTCAGCATTGCCCAGGCTCCCGGTTTCTGGAAGCATACAGGACCCTAGCTTTTTCATTGTTTTCTTTCCAGCGAGGGCGCCTTAGGTCTTTATTTTTCTGTTTTTATTGCTGTGCAAGTTTTTAGGTCACTACTGCAAAGGGCATTTCTGGCCGGCTCAGGTGCACCACTTCCCCGCCTTCATTTCTGCCAGTTCCCTTATAATCACTTGATCTCAGTTTCTCCGCCTCCTCCTCCTCCCCCTCCCAGCTAGAGACACATGGTTTCCACATGGAGACAAACTTCTTTCCTCTGACTGGACTTGACCTAGCTGCGGAGTTCAGCCAATCGGCAGCTGCAGCCTCTTATGACGTCACGCGTTGCTGAGGCCGAAAGCTCGGGGGTGGGGACAGGAGGCGAGCCAGGAAATCTCTGGGAGCTGTAGTGCGGCCAGCGGGTCCAGTCTCTTCTTAAAGGGACGCTCTTCTCCTCGGAGACGGGTGACCGTCCTAGAGTCTCCATTTCAGGTTCAGTGAGACCTTCCAGAACTACACGTATTGACCCCAGTCGCGAGTTCACACGTTCTGTTTTTCCTGTGGTTTGCAAAGTCCCTGGTTGGCAGGGCTTGCCTTATTTTCCATTGCAGCCAGAATGGCTTTTCATTGCTTCGTTGAGGTTTCGGTACTTTGGAGGGTTTGGCCACTGTGCTGAATTATTTCCGGTAGATTGGGTGAGTTTTTTTCTTGAGGGAGGGGGATTATATGAAGTCACCCAGTATGGCCTGCCTGTTCTGTGCCAGGCTGGGGACTCCAAAGGAAGAGAAGGAATATTTTGAGCTTGGGAGATTCTGCACGTACACTCCCCGGAAGTGTCAACAGATGTGAAGCCCTGCGAATCAATCGTACTGCTCCAGAAGTACTCGTCGTGGTGCAGACTGTATCCCTAGTGTCACAAATTCAGAAAGGACATGTAAATAAATACCCATCATCATCTCTACACATACATATTGTGTGTGTGTGTGTGTGTGTGTGTGTGTGTGTGTGTGTGTAAATGGAGTGGCACTGTAGTACTGACTCAGCCAAAGATTTAGTCCTTGTTTTGGAAAAGGCTACAACTGAAAGATAAAGGAAGTTTCACAACAGAATGCTAACGTGCATGTTGGCCAGCCAGGGGGAGCCATGGACAGCAGGTAAGTTCTGGAGGAGAGAAGGTCCCTTCTCTGTGTTGGGGAGAGTGGCTGTGGAGACAAAAAAGTCGCAGGATTAGAAAGGAGTCAAACACCGTGGGTTGCTCTCTGGAGTGGTTTACCTGGTTTGCAGGGTGGGGTGTTTCAGTAGGAACTGGACAGGCCAAGAGGCCTCCTCTTTCTCCTGGAGGAGGAAGCGCTGATTCTTACTGTCATGTGGCCCCACCCTGCCTCCCTGACTTAATCTGCTTGTCTCCACCATGACACCTCGGCTCCCAGTTCAGCAAGTCAATGCAGCGTGTCAAACACAGCCCTGCCACTGGACTTGACTTGGACTCCTCAGTCTATCTGGAATGCTTGCTTTCTTGACTTCCTCAGGGTCCCCTGCAGCTTACCCTACCTGCATCCAAACCTAGGTCCATTCCCACCTCCTCCAGGATGTTTCCCCAGGCTATGTGAGCCCATTCCGAATGGACTGTTCCATAAGCAGGAGTAGTTTGCTGAAAGCAAGCAAGCTTGGGAGTGGGACCGCGCAGGGGCCAGATTTCCACTCCACTTTTTACTGACTCTGTGGCCTTGGGCACAAATGATCTGATCTCTGAGGTTCCTCCATTTCTTTTTCTCTGAAAATATAATATAAAAATGTAAAATCACCCAGCTTCATGTCATTGCTGGACAGCTCAATGAGACACTGCACGTAACATATCTAGGATGTAGGAGTGGGTGCTCAATAAGTAAAAATTCCTCTGGGCTGTGGTCTTCTCTGTGCCATTCTCTGCTTCCTCTGCATTTGCTTGATCCTCACAGTATGTTGCCGTCTCTGTCACCATAACACACAGTGCACATTTCATGTAAATTGCTTGATTGGTTGGCTTTAGGGTTTACTGGCTGTGGCATGGCATAGAGGCCAGGGGAGATCTGGTAGGTTTAGAGAAGAGTTGGACATATTAATCCTCTCCAAGGGATCTGGAGATCTCCCCCAAGTCAGCACAGATTGCCTTTGGACTATGAGACCGTGCTCTGTGGAAGAAGATGGTGGGTCTAGCCTGGAGAATTGACACTGTCTACTGTCACTAATGTGACCCTGAGAATCAATGTGGCTTTGAAGGTGGGGATTGGACCACTTGTGCTAAAATTGAGGTCTTTGAGGCTGCTAATGAGGAGCCCTGGTGGCACAGTGGTTAAGCATGTGGTTGCTAACCTGGCAGTCCAAACCCAATCAGCAATGGCCTGGGAGAAAGACCCGAGGTGATCTTTTCAGTTAAGATGACAGCCAAGATAACCCTGTGGGGCAGCTCTGCTCTGTCACAGGGGATTGCTGAGTCTAAGTGGACTCAGTGGCACCCAGCATTGTCCTAGTAGGTCACATTTCTATGTGGCAGGCCTGCATTCCTCTTGGAAATACTTACTCAGCAAAGACTATTTGCAAATGCTTGTTTTCCCCCAAACACTTGGTGGGTTGACTTACAGATGGGGTGGGGTACTTGTTTTTGGTGGAGTTGTGCTAAGCACATTCTTAGATCTGGCTTATATTTCCTCTGCATACTAAATTATGCATCCTGGATCCAATCAGCCCCCCTCCCCCTGATTTAAAATATGACCTCTGCCTATTACTGAATGCCAGGTGCAGACTTTTGAGGATATAATTGTGGCCTTTAGAGGGCCAAAATTCTCAGGAACAAAGTGCCCTATGGAGGGGACTCAGGGCAAGAGGGCAGGGAGTAAAAGAAGCTATTCCTGGTTTGGGTGGAAAAAAGGGTCCACTAGCCACCCAAGTAAAACAACAGCTGCTCACCTACCATCCCTGTCTGACCAAAGTACTGTCTTATGGACACACCTAGAAATGTGACTTTTCCTCTGGGGGTGGCATGGCAAAAGTCTGGAGGTGAGACGGCAGGAAACGGGGTGCCAGAATGAAGGAGCAACAAATTACATGCTCTTACTCCTAGCTGCCATTCGCTGAGTGCTGGCTATATCTCACACCCAGGGCTAAACTTGCATGCTCTCCGCCTGTCTTCACAACAGTTCTACACCTCCACGAATTTTATTGCTCCCATTTTATGGAAGGGGCAGCTGAGGAGCCAGGGTATTGAGTAGCTTGCCAAAGGTCACATGGCTAGTAAGCGACTGGTCTTGGTTTTGAACCTAGACCTCTGACTCTGTGATCTTAACCATACACATGTGTACTCCTTTTACAACCAAGGAATGAAGTCCAAGGAGGTGAGGTGACTTGATTGAGGTCAACCAGTACCCTGAAGAGTGCTCGTGTTTGGAACACCCTGTTGATTGTCTCTTCCTGCACAAACCCTGCTTAGAGAAGGTGGAGAAGTAAAGCAGGAGACAAAATAGTCAACCAGAGAGGTTTGACTTGGTTTTGTTTTCCAGAGTTGTTCAACTTTCCTGGCCCAAGATCAAGTCTAGGGCTCGCTCCTAGGAAACTCCCAGCCCCACCTCCCTGCTGCCTTTCCCAAGTCTGTCCTCTGGGCATATTAGAGACCTTGGGCTGTTGCTATGGTACTGGAGCCGGTAGCAGGTTCATCAAAAGCCCGGGTCTTTTGCCTTAAAAAAAAAAAAAAAGCCTGGCCGGGCAGAAACAATTTGGCCACAAAGATTTGCATCAGTCATTGTGGCTTGTTCTGTTTTAGATCCTCTGCTCCCCCCACCCCCTGCCTCCCCACCCCGCACCGCCTCCCTACCACCACCACTTTCTATAAATACAGTTGGATAAATATTGATTTAAACTAGGTTTCTGGAGGAGAAGCACATGCTTGCCCTGGCCTGGTCTTCACTTAGATACTACCAGTAAGTCCAGCCTGACACACCTAACCCCCCAGCTCCAGCTTCCAAAGGACCCATTTGGGGGAGGTGCGTGGTGGCTTGGTGGCTTTTGAGTTTTAAAGGAAAGGAGAAAAACAGTGGGAAAGCAACAGCCCGACAAGAAATGGCAATCTTGCAGAACGAAGAAAGCCATTTCCAGCAGGCACAAGTTGGAGGAAGGCCTGGCCTTCTGAGCCATTCTCTTTTCCCCTCCATTTTGGGTTTGGTTCTTAGAGAAAGCAGGTGATGAAACAGAGCCTCAGGCACCAGGTGTCACCCCGGCCCCCCATCATCCTCACAATACCGAAGAGGAAGCTGAGGCCCAGAGAGGGATAGTTGCCTGCTTAAGATGACACAGCAGAGGCTGAGCCAGGTCCTCCTGGAGTATGTTCTCACCCACCTGAGGCAAGAACAGGTCCCAGGCTGAGCCCCGAACTCAGCCTGCCTTTGTTTTAGGACCCAGGTGTTCAGAAAGTCAGCAGTTCTCCAACCCAGTTTGCTGAGCCGTGGGTGTGTCCGGCAATTGCAAAGGTCATTGCACCATTCTCAATAGTCTTTCCAAACGAAGCTCATTTGCATATTCCATACTTAGGAAAATATTTTCTTTTACATTTGGGGAAAGAAAGGGCCAGAAGGCTGTGGCAGTGATGGGAATGTGGTCTGAGCCTTTCTGAGGAGGAGGGAGTCAAGCCTTCCCAGAGGGGTCTCTTCCTGACAGTAGGAGGTAGAGCTCAGGGCTGCCCCTGGAAGGAGAGACAGACAGACAGACACCTACTCTCTGGCTCTTTTGCTAAACTTCAGGGAAGCAATCTTCCCTGCTATCATTGTCCCTAAGTGGCCTGGCCAGAAGTGTTAATGCTGTCCACAGTTGACTTGACCTCTCTGACCCCAAATAAGGGGCATTTGCCACTGCCACTACGAGCTGGAGGCTCCTTCTTGGCTTCCGGGTTGTAGCAGGCTTCCCTGGGCCCCCAGGCTGGTGAAGCATGCTGTAAGTTCAGGTGACTTTAGTTTTCAGTAACAAAGGCCTCTGGGAAAGGATGTAAACAGAATCCCTTTAACATTTTTAAACTAGAGGAACCCTCTTGAAGGGAGCCTTTTGGCCAAGGCTCTTATAAAATGTGGGGTTATGTCACATGCCAATACTTCTCTCTAACATTCTTGGAGTTTATCCCCTCATTTATGCATTAAGTGGGTATTTAAGGAGCCCCCACTGGCTCTGTGCCAGGCCCTGTGGAAGGCTCTGGAGAGGGTTACAGTGCCTCCCCTCATGGGGGGTATCCTCTATTCCAGGGCTGTGGCTGTGTGCTGAGGGATGGATTCTGGCTCACTGAGACCCAGTAGGAGAGAATTGAGCAGACTAGCCTTGCCCCACGGGGTTTGCTAGACTGTATATGTTTCAGAAGCAGCTCACCACGCCTTTTCTCCTGAGAAATGACCTGCTGGGGAGCTCAGACTGCAGACCTTTTGGTCACCAGCTGAGGGTCAGTGCTGGGTTTCGGAAATTCCCCGTAAAGTGAACTCCAATCACGCAGGTTATTTCTCACTTGGGCTTTGTGTGTTTGTTCCTGAAAACAGGACAGGCATTTATCCTAGGCTTCCAAATGGCTTGCTGCCCAGTGCCCACCCCCACCCCCACCCCCAAGCCTCCATGTTCAAAATCCTTTGTATTTTTGTATTTGTCCTTATAATATCTGTGGAACGGACTTTTTTTTTTTTTCTGGCCTGAGTTTAGGAAACCAAGTACCATGTAAGCAGCTTTGTAAACAAACACATTCCACTCTCAGTTCCTTGCAGACAGGGACCGTCTGCACTTGGAAGCCTGTCTACACCAGCGCTCTCACCAAGTTCATTCTCTGAAAGACCCACACGCTTCTAATGTCTGACTCCCCTGTCGGCTGAGAAACCAAACACAGTTGCCATCGAGTCGATTCTGACTAGGGCGATCCCGGGTGAGTTGGAGTAGGGCTGTGCCCCGTGAGGTTTTCAGTGGCAGGTTTTTCAGAAGTAGATCACCAGGCCTTTCTTCGAAGGCACTTCTGGGTGGACTTGAACCTTTAGCCTTTCTGTTCGCAGCTGAGCACTTAACCAACTTGGGCCTCCTTCAGTGTTCCCTAAGGATCTTCAAACAGCCAGACTAGAAAGGTAAACACTACCCTGAGTGAGGAGGGGGCAGGAAAATTCTGGCTAAACTCAACCATAGAGCATTTGAATGACCTTACAGAAGATTTGGATGACCTATGATTTGAGGAAGTTTGTTCTGTATTATTATTGCCCTTAGCGAGAATACTTGAATAAAGATGACTTGGGATTAGGTGGCCTATTGTATTCAAATAGATGGCAGGGATGCTCTGACTTTGGCCCTGAATGTACAAGCGGAACCTACTGTAGACTTTGTGTTTATTCTACAGGGACACAGAACTAACTACCTTTGGGGTCGCTGTGTCATCTCCCTCCCACCACCACAGCCTGGCCATCCCAACTGTAATTATGAACTTCCAACACTCCAAGTGCTTCTCATATAACTTTCATTCTTCCCGCCAGCTGAAAAGTTTAGCTCAACCCCCAAAATAATTTTGAAAGCCTGCAGGGACTAAGGACTGTGCTTGGTGCTTCCATAGTGAAATGTGCCTGTCTTCCAGTACCAGTTCTCCACTTCAAAGAGTCAACCAAGAAAGACCAATGAGCAATTCTTATCTGTCTTCTGGGAGTCTGGTAATCTTGTGTCCAAGAGAACTGCTGACAAGAACAATGTCTTCTCGGTGCTCCAAAGGAAGAGTGATGTTGGCCCCCTTTTATTGAGCATTCACTACGTGTCAACACAAGGCTAAGTGCTTCACCTGCCTTTACTCATTCAATCCCCACATTTTTCCAATAGGAAGATACTATAATTATTCTCTGAGTCCCTGGGTGGTACAACCAGTTACTATGCCTCTCTAGTAACCAAAAGGCTGGAGGCTGCAGTCTACCCAGAGGTATCTCACAAGAAAGGCCATGGTGATCTTCTCTTGGAAAAGCAGCCATTGAAAACCCTCTGGAGCACAGTTCTACACACACACACACACACACATGCACACCACACGCACACGATCTCCATGGGTTGGAATTGATTCTGTGGTTATTGTTTTTTTTTAAGTTATCCTCAGTTTATAGATAAGTAAAATATTAGCAAGGCTGACTAACTCTTGCCAGGCTGTCTGCTAACCAGTTGTGTTGCCAAGGCACAGATTCAGGGTTCCCTGTCTTTCTAGGGAGACCCTAGGGCTCTTGGAGAAGCCTCTGGGACAGGAATCAGCGAGAGGCAAGCAATGGTACCTAGAAGAGTTGAAGTCAGGCTGAGGGTCCCCCTGGGTCTGCCCACTTGGACAGACTTCCGTTTCTCCCCACTCCTCCTGGGGCAGAGAGGGGCATCCAAAACCTTCCCAGGTTCTTTGGATGTTGGCACTGTGGCCAGTTAGTGGAGGGCGGTGGTCTGGGTGTTGCTGTTTGCATGTGCATTACCATCTTGCCCAGCACACTTGGGGGAACTTCCTCACCCATTGAGTAAGGCTCTGTCCATGCGGGTGTCAGGGTGTGAGTCCACGCCCTACCAGGCTGTACCAGATTTCCTGAAGGCGCCCAAGCTTGTAGGGCAACTGGGCTGGCCTGTGCTGGGAGCCAAAGGCTTGTGCCAAAGGAGCCAGACAACAGAGGTGAGTGTGAGCCACAGATATGAGCTTGGGACCCTGGCTGCTACCTTGGGAATGTAGGGCAGCTGGTTCTGGTCAGAGGCGCCGGGTCCAGCATTTTGCTCTTCTTGATTGAGATCGAGGAAACGTGAGTGCTCTTAAATATAACTGCATTCATGCCACTCCCTTGTTCACAGCCCTCCCGTACTTTCTTTTCTGTCTAGTTAAAGTAAAATGCAAACTCCGGGTTATAGCCCTGGGATGGGCACCTGTGCCATGCCTTGATAGCTACTCAGAAATGCAGATTCCCAGGGCCCCACCCAGACCTGCTGGATCAGAATCTGCATTTTACCACAATCCCCAGGTGATCTGTGTGCTTACTTAAGTGTGGGGCGCTGGCCTAGAGGGCTAGAGGATCTTTCCTGATGGCCCCTTCCTTCTAAAACGACTCTTTACCCTTATCCTAATTATTCTATTCATTTCTATTAGTCTGTTTCCTTGAAGACAGGGACAGGAGGTCGTTTTGTTCATTTTCCCAAATTCTCAAGATAGCATAGTGCCTGGCAGGTAATTGATCTTAAGAATGCGAAGGGGGGGAAAAATAATACAAAGGGGCTTCAAAAAGTTGGCAGGAAAATTCCATTATCTTTTTATTCCCTGTTCCCACGAATTTCTTTGAAACTCCCTCGTATTTGTTGAATGGCTGCCTTTCTGACCTAGTGTTTCTCCACAAGGGAGCTACAGATAGGTGGGAGAGTTCTTCCGTATGTGGATTATTCCTGAATGTGGCAGGATCTTAATATCCTTGGTTCCCACTCTATAAATGTCCATTGAACTTTCCCGGTCATCGAGACACCGAAAGATACTCCTACACACTGGGCAAGCCTCTTGGTGGGGGCGATACTGCCCCTGGGTGAGCCCACTGCTCTGGCCAATTTTGCTTGGCCTTGTCGGATTGATCATACCAGGAGGCATGCTGTAGACCGAGCTTCAGAAAATCCAGGTTTGAATCTCTTCACTACCCTCATTCCCTCCGGGAAACCCCTTAACATTTCTGGGCCTCATCAGAAAAATCCGACTCTCTAAGGTGTGCTGAGGATGGGGTGGCCTGACTGTATGCGAAGCACCGGGCACATATTCCCTGATCACAAAACGACAGGTAGAAAGCAAACAGGGGTAGATTATTCAAGGATCGCTGGAGAACCCCAGAATCACAATGTTGGATCTGGGAGAAATGGTGACATCACTGCAGTCCTCCAACAGGCACGAGTCTGGCTATGTTTTTTGGGGTCTCTTTTTAATCCATGCTGCACCTGAGGTTGAGAATGCAGACACAAGGTAGCAGGGGCTGGCTGTCTGATTTCCTGTCCAGGGCCTGCCCAGTTCTAAGAGTAACCTCCATAGGTTGTTGCCTAGAAGAGCGAGGTGACGCCAAGGTGTGGGGGCAGGGGAAGGAAGGGGGGGTAGGGTTACCCAGGGGCTGTGCCAGGAATGGGGGGCATTCTCTGAGTAGAAAGGGAAGACCGCTAGTGTGTTTTTTTCCCTTCAAGGTTTAAAATCATAATCCATATAGCTTGGAAAACACAGTTGCCATACTACAGATTGATAAATACCACACATACAAAGAAAACTGTAGATTAAGTCAAGCTTTTGAATGTCAGTGCAAAAAAATTGAGACCAAATATTAGCTCAAGAAATGGAAGCAGTGTGTTCCAAAGAGCACAGCGTACCCTGCTGGCCAAGGTGTCTGCCAGGGATGCCAGGGAGCCAAGGAACCTAGGGGGCTAGAGGATTACAACCACCAAGGACAGGAGATGAATGCCAGGCAATAGCAAACGGGGTAGGGGGTGGGGGGTGGGATGGGGAGGATGTCATTGGGGGAAAGGGGTAGTGGTGGAAACAACTACAGGAAGCAGTGAGAAAAATGAATTAGATACAACAAAGAAGTTTACCTATGGTGGTCTTTCCGTTGAAAACGTCTTGAGAAGAGAGGTGAGTAGGGGTCGAGCCGCAGGGATGGGCCCGAGACCCTCCCTGGTCCTAGGGCTTGTGGTCAGAACCCACAGAGACGGAGTTGATTCTGAGGGCAGCTTTTCCTTAGGGAAACAAAATGAACCCTGGGAGAAAACAAAAGCAGGCATCCGATCCCATTGGAATGTAACTTGATCTTGACAGTGAAGGCTTAAGGCCTCACAGGTCGAAAGATCAGCAAACAACGTATTCCACTTTAGCATTTTTTGTTTTTAACTGAATAGTCCAGAAAAAAAAATTAAGGAGCTGGGGAGAGAGCTACCTCTCTAGACTGAAAGCCTGAGCGCTTAACCTTGACTTCCTCTGTTAAAGCAGATGGCTGTGTGGCCTGGGGCAAGTTCCCACACCTCTCTGAGCCTCCATTTTCTCATCTGAAAAACGGGAACTGTGCTGAGGATCAGCCTCATGATGTAACATCTGTGAAGCGAAACTCTACAGTGCTATATTCCGAGCAGCCTTCATTTGGCATGGTCTAGCAAAATCCTCCCAAATGCCTATCACAAGCCCCCTAATACCTACCCTACCACCCCAGGAGGGTGCTCTGGCAAAAGTCAGCCACTTAGATGTGCATAATTATTGAGTCCTGCAATGCAGATTTCTTCACGAATCCAGAATCAAGCAAAAAAAAAAAAAAAAGACATCTGAGAGTTTAACACATCCACTCTAACCACTGAATAGGCTGCTATGTAATAGGGGCCATTTAATAATGGAAGACGCCTTTTTCTAAGGGGGAAGGGAGAGGCCAAGATAGAAGTCACGTGCCCCTGCCAGGGACCCCGATCAAGTTCGACAACAACAAACTTCCTGATTCCAGGAGCTCAGCTTCTTGCTGCCTCCCCCTGCTGCCTCCTTCCTCTGTGCCTTCTCCCCTCCCTCCTTTCTCCCGGGGCGGGCACGGGCACGGGCACGGGCACCTGGGTTGCTTGGTGCGTTTCTGTGTGCTTGGGCTGTCAGCCGGCAACCCTGGCGACCGGAGCCCGGGGAGGCGGCAGCTACCTCTGGGCTTAGCATTACGTCATCCCTTCTAGACCCAAATTTATCTCCGCTGCACACAGACCCGCAGCTCTGAGTCGCCGCGGACTCGAGGAGAGCTTACGCGTGAAGTTAGTTAGGCAAGGCTGACTCACCGGGCCCAGGGGAAGCTTCTCGGCTGCTCTTCACGTTTCTGGGCTCTGCGGGGAGGAGGCTGCGCTTGTCATTTGGGGGTGGGGGCTGGCAAGATGTCTAACTGCTCCGGTTTTCATTTAAGAATTCGGAGCTCACCTTCCCCAGACCCCAACCTTGACTCTAGAGCACCCCCGCCCCCTCCACCCTCACAAACGATCTCAGAAAGCAGTGGCCTGCGCAGTAAGCACTTTGCAGTTCAGGGAAGTTTGCCTAGCACCAGGTGGCATCCACCCAGTGACCTTGAACCTCATGGTCCTGCCCTCTCTTCCATCTCTCCCTCCCGTCTGTCTGCTGAAAAGATCGAACGCCGACCAACTTCACAGTTCGCTGCTTTGCGAGAAGTCGCTCGGAAATTTGCATCTTGTAAACTGAGCTGTGAAGGTAGCCCTAGAATTAAGAGCTTTACTTAGCGCCTTCGGAAGGCAGCTCACACCCAGCTGATTGAACCTGTAGAGGCTTGGGTGGGGGAGGGGGGGGGCTTCTGGGAGATTTCCTTCCCCTTCCCGGTGAAACATTTGTCGTCGGTCGACTTTGGAAGCCTTGCTTTCCCTCAGTTTCCCCGTCTGCATTTGGAGGGTTCCCCCATGCGGAGGGATATGGTTTGTGGGTGGCAGTTGCCTCCTGAGGATAGAGCCCTCAGCTTTGTGCTCTGAGGGTGGGTGCCATCTGGAGGCAGGGAGGCTCCTCAAGGGAGCACCTTCAATGGCAGCTTGAAAAGCCGGGGGATTTCCCTGTAGATGGCCAAGCCCCCAGCACGTGTGTTCTTCGGACACGACCAGGTGGCCTTTTAGTGACTCTCCCCCTGCTTTGATCCGCTCCCTCTTTGCCATCCCTCTAGTCATTCACCTGGAGGTCAACATACTACCCCAAGTATCTTTGTGATTATTATTATTTACTGTTGTCTTCCAGTCGGTTCTGACTCATGGCAAGCCCTGTGTTGGAGAAGAACTGTGCTCTACAGGGTTCAATGACTAATATTTTGGGAGTAGACTACTAGCCCTTTCTTCCAGGCACCTCAGGATGGACTCAAATCTACAACCTTTCAGTTAGCACCCGAGTGCTTACCTGTTTGTACCGCCTAGGAATTCTGCCCTAAGCATCTAGCCAGCTAGAGCTCTATGACCTAGACATTTAAACCCCTCTTGAATCCATGTAGAGTTTGAATTTGGACTACTTTCCTCGATGTACATCATATGGATTTATCTCCCATTGGGTAAAATAAACCTTCCTTTTACATGTCACACTTGAACCCTGGTGCCGTAGTGGGTTATGCGTTGGATTCCTCACCATAAGGTCGGCAGTTCGAAACCATCAGCTGCTCTTTGGGAAAAAGATGCAGCTTTACTCCAGTTAAGATGAGCAGTTTTGAAAACCTACAGGAGCAGTTTTACTCTGTCCCCTAGGGTGGCTTTGAATCAGAATGGACTCAATGATAGTGAGTGCATTTATTTGTCATAAGACTGCCCTCTTTAACTTCCTAGGAGTAGCCCTTGGCAATTTAGGATCCGAAGTTCAACGAGGCCCAAATGGTGGAAACCACCTTTCAGCCTAAGAATGTCTACTCTCAACTAAGAGATATTCTGAGTGGATAGGTGTTTTCTATTAAATCATTTTGTCCCACCCCTCTCCCAACATGCCCCTTGTTGAGGGTGGAAGTTATATTTAAAGGGGGAAAGCTCCGATCTGAAACAATCTAGCTCACAGCTGAAAAAGCACGGCCTTGGTTTCAAAGTCTCTACCTACCCCCAAAATTAATTCTCCTGTGGTTTGCAAACACCTCTCATTTTTCGTATTTGATGGAATATTTATTTGGTTCTTAAATGTGGTGCCAAGTATAATATTTTAAAAGGCTGGCAGAATTTTGCAGCTTGCCACCATATTGAAGATCATGTTCACCCTGGAAATAAAAAGAAAAGTATACGCGGAGAGGATGTTAAATGCAGCCTGGAGTTCATGACATTTTTGAGAGGGTAAGGTTTCCACTTTAAAATGCTACTTTCTGCAGTAGCCATTGCAATGACAATAGGGAATGGGACATTTTCTCCTCATCAGAAGCTTTCTGATAATCTGGATGTCCACCAGCAGGTTAAAATAATCAAGTTGGGGAAAAGGTATGGATATATTTACAAGGTTCACAGCTTGCTCCGAGAACCTTCAGTAATCATGACCCTCTTGCTCATCCTCCCACTAGGCCGGTGGTTCTCAACCAGAGGTGATTTTTGTCCCTCAGGAGACATGTGGCAATATCTGGAGACACTTGTTTCCACGCCTGGGTGGGGTTGCTACCGGCACCTATTGGGTAGAGACAAGGGATGCTGTTAAACATCCTACAACATACAAGCCAGGCTCCCACAACGCAGAATTATCTCGCCTAACTTGTCAATAATGCCAAGGTTGAGAAATGCTGGTCTAAGTCTTGAGGACAAGAAAAGAGAGTGGTGGTGAGAGCTGCTTGGGGCAGTCTTTTAATGAGTTCCTCATTCTCTGTAGCCACTGATTCCAGTTACCCTTCTATGGATTATAGCATAAGCAAAAGCGATCTTTAACATGTTGTTCCTGGTTCTAGCTGCCATCTCAAACCAAACCAAAACACGCTCACTGCCATCAGGTCCATGTCACCTCAGAGTGACCCTGTAGGACAGGGTAGAACTGCCCCTGTGGGTTTCTGAGACTGGAACTGTTTACCAGGAGTAAAAAGCCTCATGTCTCTCCTGAGGCGAGGCTGGTGGTTTGGAACTGCTGACTTTGCCGTTAGCTGGCCAACGTACACCTGGTGAGCTCACGCATAGCAAAATGGAATGCTGCCCAGTCTGGTGCCATCTTCACGATCATGGGTATGTGTGAGTCTGCTTTTGAGGTTACTGTGCCAGCTCCCCTCGGTGAGGATTTCCTTTTCATTGACCCTCTAGCAAACCTGATGTCCTTTTCTGGAGAGGTCATACCTGATGACGCTTCCAAAGTAAGTGAGCTGGAGTTTTGCCATCTGTGCTTCTGAGGAGTATTTCTCAGTTGAATTTCTTTGGAGATGGATTCGTTTGTTCGCTTGGCAACCCATGGGATATTCTTCAATAGTCTTCCCCCAAACACCATAATTCAAATGATTTTTCTTCTTCTTTTCCTTGTCCAACTTTTGCATAGCTTCTGTTTATTGAGTGGCTAGTATATACTGAGTGCTGGAATTATTTAATCTTCCCTAGAAGCCTTGGTGATGACATACTTCTTGAGAGCAGGGGACCTTATCTGTTTCTTTCACTACTGTATACTTATGTCTACTACAGTGTCTGGTACATGGCAGGCGCTCAACATATTAAATGGATAATTATATCTATTTTGTACATGAGGAAAGTGAGACCTAAGAATCCACACAACACATGATGATAGTTAACATACAGAACTGTCTATGTGGAGAGTGTTGAAATGGTAAATGCTTTTTTATACGTGTTTACCAGGTTTTTTTTACGTCCATGCAGCTAGTATAAGTCTCAGTCAAGATTTGAACAGAGTCCTCTGTAACTCCACCACTAAGTCACAAACCCATTGAATTATATCTTTTACCTTTAGCACCAGAGAGGTTTTCTGGCCTCTAAAACTACTAATAAGGGACTGAAGGAACAAAAAGGAATTAAAAAAAACTGCTAACCTGTGTGGCATTAATGGCTATGTGTTGGGCTACTGACCACAAGTCAGCAGTTCAAAACCACCAGCTAGCTGTTCCATGGGCGAAAGATGAGCCTTTCTATTACTGTAATGATTTACAGTCCGGGAAACACACTAGGGGCAGCTCTATTCCGTCTTATGGGGGCTTTGTGCGACTCAACCGCAGAGAGAAAGCAAGAAAGACCAGTCTGTGTGCAACGACGACCCCATGGGTTGTGCAGATGGTTACTGCGCTGGGTTGCTAACCGAAAGCTTGGAGTTTTGAGTCCACCAGAGGTGCCTGGAAAGAAGGGTCAGTCCTTGAAAACTATGGAGCACAGTTCTATTGTAACTCATATGGGATAGCAATATCAGCGCAATGACTTTTTATTTATTATTATTATTTTTAATGCCTCAGGGCATCGTCTCCGGTTCTGGACAATCCATGTTTCCGCAGAGTGATTTTGGTTGTTCCAGTGTGTCTGTGTGTGCTCTATGTGCTTGTGTTCTTTTCATTTTGCCGGTGAGGAAACGAAGGTATAGAAGTTACATTAGAAAGGGGTAGCAGAGGACTAGAGGCTGCTAAAAGGGTGGGGGGAGGGGGGCATTCTTGGTCACCATGAGTCCGAATCGACTCGATAGCAGGGAGTGTGAGGGAGTGGACTCACAGCTCATTCTATCGCTCCTCTGCCCCAAAGAAAAGCTTAATGGGTAACTTCTTTGGACCCAGGATAGGGAGCAGCAGTAAACCGAGCGGGACTACATCTCCCAGCGGGCATTGAGAAATCTTGCCTCGTGCTGGCTTACTGAGACGCTGTGCGTACTACGACTCCCAGCATGCAGCCGGCGAAGGCGGGAC